TGAGTTTTTAGTGTCTAGTTTAGTGTTTCTAAGTCTAGTTTTCTGTTTTTGAGTCTAGTTTAGTGTTTCTAAGTCTAGTTTTCTGTTTTTGAGTCTAGTTTAGTGTTTTAGAGTTTAAATTGTGTAGATTGATGCGAGAAAATTACTTGACACTCAAATTAAACCCTCGTTTGACAATTGTAGTAGAATGGATAAGTGAGGGATCGTTCTAGACCGGGGATTAGGAGGGCTTGCTAAAACCTTCTAAATTGACTTAAAAACATAAAAACTCAATATAAAACACTATTTAATGCTCGAAGAAAGCAAAACTAAAAATAAGAAAGATTAAGACTAAGACTTCAACGAAATAGGGGGGAATTGGATTTGGACGAATTTAAACTAAAATGGATACTTGGAAACAAAACAAATTGTAAATATGGATAGATTGCAAACAAGTGTTGTGAAATTAGATGGTTGGTGAATTAGCTAGAGGTTCTTTCTCCACACATGATATTTATGCATATGAATCAATTTCCAGTTATTCCTTCATTGAATTATGAACGACAATGCCCCAAATTAACCGTGACATCACTAGTTAACCCTCAGATTTTCCTTAAATTATTGGATTGGATGGCATCATTCGACAACCCAAAATATTCTCAAAAGTTCCCTACATGTCATCATAATAGAGATACAATCGAAGATCATTAAGAATAATGAAAACCATAAGCATTGACAAAGCATTTGCAACTATGACATCATGTTACTCATGCTAAGAATTAAACTTAACGCGATCGTGACAAGCAACCTTCACTACTTTCAAGTATAAGTTAGTAACGATTATGTGAAACCTTCTTAAACTTTAGCCACATATTCATGCATGCTAATTAAGTGTCGACCCTCAATCAACAAACACAAATAAGTTAATCATCAAATAGTTAAGCCAATTGCATTCACGAATCAAGAGTTCATAACCGGAATTCATCAATTCATATTACATAAATAATCATGGTATTGAAATCACCCCTAGCCAAAAAGGGTTTAGTTCCTCATAACTTTGAAATCAAAGAAACACCTAAACATTCCAACAACTCAAACTTGAATTGTATGAACGTTTAGGCACTCTTCTCTTCCATTCCTCATATTACAAAACAAAGAGAATTGAATTTAAACATTGAAATCAAAGAAACGCGTAAACATTCCAACAACTCAAACGTGAATTGTATGAACGTTTAGGCCCTCTTATCTTCCTCTTTATTGTGGCACAAGGACTAAGGGATGTTGTTGGTGTGTTGAATGGATTGGGGGATTATGGAAATGGATGAGGAGTGTGGAGAAAATGGTGAGAAACTTACGGCTAGGGAGAAGATGGAAGTGTTTGTGGTGTGTTGTGTATGAAATGAGATGATTTTTGAATGAATGAATGCAAAGGTATTTATAGGAGGAGTGGAGATGTATATGGCTATTTGTTTAAGGTGTTTGTGGTTGCAATGATGAAGAATTGCATGTGGAAATAAAAGGGAAAATGTGGTGAAATGATGAAGTAGGAAGGTGGAAATGCATGTGACTTGTTGGAAAGGAAATGGGAATTTGAGTAGGCCATGGCATGGGAGTTGTTTTGTTGGTGTAAATGTGCCATGGTTGCAATGATGAAGAATAAAGGGTGCATGTGGGGTGGAATTGAATGAATGCAAAGTGAATGAATAATGAAATGAGTTAAAAAGGGAGAATGTGGTGAAATGATGAAGTAGGAAGGTGGAAATGCATGTGACTTGTTTGTGGAATAAAGAATGAATGGTGGAATGATGAAGAGTTGCATAAAGAATGCATGTAGGGTTAGCTAGGTTGGCTTTGTTTGGGTGCATGTGTGTTAATGGTGGTTTTGCATGCGAATTGATGGATTGTTTTTGATGGAATGGATGGTTCTTTGCATGGCTTTTGAAGTGATTGTGGGCTTTGGAATTGGAAGGAAATGCATGGCCTTGGGGTTGGTTTAAGAGAGAATGGGCTAGGCCCTTTGTTTTATGTCCAAAATGAATACAAGGCCTTCAAATTCGTCCAACACTTTGGCTCCAATCATATGCTATCCATTCCAAGCCCAATTTTGCTCCAAAATGCTCCAAAATGCATCTTTTTGCTTCATTAGCCATATGAACCTAAAAACACACGAAAATGGCTTAAACTACTAAAACAACTATGAATTAACAACATAGATGCACGAAAACAAGCTAAGTAAGTCGCCTAAATATGCTCCTATCATAGATTAGCATCCCTTCTAATCCCCAGCCTAAAACGATCCCTACTTTCATATGCTACAATCATAAGGTTTTAATTTGAGTGTTAGAATATATCACATCAATCATTCTAGGCTTCAAAGCATCCAACAACGAAGCATAGTACAAGGCCTTACTAGTAGGCCTTCGAATGGTAAAAGACTTAGCGGTGAAAATACTTGCAATTCATTCTGATTCCTAGCTAATCACTAGCTAGACTACTGGGGAGTACACGGCAAAACATCCGAGGATGGCGCAATACCTGGAAAAGGTACGCAAGCAACTTGAGGCATTTCAGACTAACACTTTCACTCAAGTTTTGTGGGCAGAGAACACCCACGCAGATGCGCTAGCTAGCCTAAGCTCTGCCCTCGACCACCAACTCAAACTCTTTATTCCGGTGGAGTATCTAGACAAGCTGAGCATAGAGGCGGAGCCAGCAGCCGAAGTGTCATAGGTTAGTATAACTCCCAACTGGCAAAGTTCTATTATAGACTACATGGTCAATGGCACATTCCCCACGAAAGGATTGGAGTTTAGAAAGCTCCAAATAAAGGCAACACGCTACTACATATGGAACAACATTCTCATTTGAAGATCCTACACCGAACCACATCTCCGTTACTTATCGCCTCTCGACGATCTAAAGGTTTTAAGCTCAATCCATGAAAACGTTTGTGGAAATCACTCTGGATGCTGATCCTTAACACAAAAGGCTCTTAACGCAGGTTATTATTGGTCTACCATGCACCAAGATGCTAAGGAGTTAGTACAAAAGTGCGACTGCTGCCAACGCTTCATGCCGGTATTAACACTGCCTGTTAGCGAACTACACCCGTAGACAAGTCATTGGCCGGCTGTTCATGTAGTGGGCAATCGACCTGGTAGGGCCAATGTCACTTGCTACTAAAGGCAAAGGCATGATGATCATGGCAACCAATTACTTCACCAAATAGGTAAAAGCAAAGCCCATGACAACCACGACTCAGACGGACATAAAGTGTTTCATATGGAAGAACATCATTTGCTAATTTGGCATCCCTCAGTCCATCATCACTAACAATGGCACAAAATTTATGGGCAAAAAAATGGCGAAGTTCTTCCAAAAGTATGGCATCAACAACATATGTCCATGCCAAAGTATCATCAAGGCAATGGGCAGACCGAAGCATCCAATAAGACGATCCTCGACTACCTCAAGAAATCCCTCTCCGACAAAAAGGGAAAATGGCTAGACGAACTCCCCAGATGTCTATGAGCATATCGCACAACCAAAAGACGAGCAATCGGTGAGACTAGCTCTTTGGCATTTGGTTCGGAAGCAATCATTCCCCTCAACATTATCATGCCAAGTATAAGCAATTTACTGCTAAGCATTGAACAGAACAGTAAGGTTATGGCCACAAGCTTAGATCTGGCAGAGGAGAAGTGCAAGCAGACTATCACCTGCATTGCAGCGTACCGGCAACAACTCATTTCTAACTACAACAAAAGGGCCAATATCCGAAAGTTCCAACCTGGAGATCTAGTCCTAAGAAAATCCTTCATCACTGCCCCCAGAAAAGAGCCCAAAAAGATATATCCCATCTAGGAAGGTTTGTACAAGATCAATAGAGTGAGGGGCAAGGCTAATTAGATCCTCACCACCATGAGCGACAAAGAGATAAAAAAACAATGGAATGCCTACAATCTAAGGAAGTACCATATGTGACCACCCGCTACATCAAAGCCTGAAGAACTTAAGCAGCTCAACGGGCACCACCTCGCAAGTCGAGGACTATCCAGTTGTTATGCAGTCTCTACTTTAGAGCTAAGTTTTTGTTTGTTTCACTTTTTTTAATGAGGATTTCAAAAGTAATTTACAACTTCGTTTGACTACATGTCTACAACAATTGATCACTTTTGCACTTCTAAAGAAGATCGCACCCTTCTTAGGGACTCACCGCAGAAATTGCACCCCCCAAGGGACCAACCATGTTCTCCAGTGCGAAAGGGTAAATCAATTCCTTGACACCCACATGGGTCTGCTCTCCAAAGAGGGAGGATAAGCCGAGCTGCACTCTAAATATCCAGACGTGGATGAGCCGAGCTGCCCTAGTGTAACTAGATGCGCGATGGCTTGTGCCCAGATTCCTAGAAGTAGCCACAATGGCCTTTTTCAAGGCTTAGCTAACTAAAGGATTTTGGGTCTCTTGGCCTAATCCATATGGAACCGGGCCTTAGAGATGGAGGAGGCACATAATGCACTACGCCCTATAGACGGCTGCCCTAAAACCCTAAAGCTGCTACCGAGCGCACTAAGGTAGTCTACAATTTTTGGAAGACTGGCTACGGCTTACCCTTCGAGAATTATACAACCACACATTGTTGTGAAAGGTTAAACAAGATAGCGTTCATATACGAAGCTTTATCCACTACCGACAAGCTACGTAGTCGATAAGCTTCTCCACTGCCAAGCGCGGAATAACCTATACCAAGTCCTAAAGTGTTGTAATACTTGCTACGTAACCTACGGAATTGAAGAAAGCCAGGGTTAACAGCCTAGTGGTTACGCGGACTTGTCTGCTTATGTAAGAAAGCATCCGGCTGCCAACCCTATAGCTAACAACTTTGCAAAGTTCTACACCAACACATGCGGCTGCATAGGCTACGCGGACCTGTCTGCTTATAGAAAAGTAGCATGCCTACCACTGGTCTATAAAGTCTAAAGGTTAGGGCATGAACAAAAGAAGTGAAGATGGAGAAAAGTGAAGGAAACAAGTTTATTAAATTTTCTAGCAAAACTGATAAACAACTAGCAAAAGACCGAAAGAGTTCAAGAAAAAACAAAAGCAACAAGGAAAGCAAAGAAAATCCTAAAGGCTAATTAGAAGACTACTCTTCAGCAACTTAGACATCCCACGACTACTCAGTCGCCATACCTTCAGCAGCCCCGATGTTCTCAGTAGCAGCACTATCTGACACTTCACCTCCAGCTGCCCCAGCCTGGGCACCAACCTCTCCAACTACTTCACCAATAGAAGACTCAAAAGTAAAGCCGAGCAAGTATTCCGGAGAAATAGAGAAGGTCTCGAAGTCTTTACCAGAAAACTCAAAGTCAGACGACCACCCAAAAAGATGGTCTACATAACCCAACTTGTAGAAATCGGCTTTACTTTAAGTAAGCTTGTAGAAATCTACAAACCCAACCTTCTCACCTTCAATTGCTCATTATCTTCATGCAGACAAGCACGGACCCGCTGCAGCTCCTCCACTTCTTTCTTCAGACGATCGTTGATCTTTAAAGCACCTTGAAGTTCCAACACTTAACGTTCAGGCCTATCAACAACCTTCTTGAAGTAGATCACTTGGTTGTCAGCAGCGATCAGTTCTTCATCCTTTGTGTAAGCAGCATAGAAAAGCTCAAAGATAACACAATCAAGGTTTTGAATATAAGGTATGTAACACCCGATCTCTTTCCCTTCACTTTCATACTTTACTTGGATTGCGTCAAGCCTAGTCTTCAAATTCATGATCTTTTGGCAAACAATCTCAAGCTGCAGAGAAGTGAGGGCAGGAATATTAGACTCATTTAAAGTAGCAAGCTCAGATTCCAACTTGTTGACTTTCTTAGCCGAGGAGTAAGCTTTAGCTGCCATAGTTCTTGCCACCTCCTTGGCAGCCTTGGTATCCTCTTGATCAAGGAATATAGATTTGTCATTTTTTGCATCAAAGCCAGCAGAGTAGTCCTCCTATACTCAATCGTATGTTTTGCAAAGGAAATCGAGCCAACAACCCCTTTGATGTCATCAGCAAATTTGTCACACACATCTATGTCCTGGAGAAAATTTGGCCTCAAAAGCGTACAAATCTTAGCAACTTCCCTAGAAACAGACTTGGTGGATTTCTCATAGATGGCCACATGAGCAGTCTTCTTCTTTTAAGCAGACGAGTCGGTTTCGACAGCAAAGGGAAAGAATTTTGGCACCATTTTAGCAAGCGAATGAACCTTGTCATTCTTCATAGTAGCAAGCCTCTCCAAAGGTGAACTAGACATTGTCCCAGATGGACATTTTGGCACTCGAGGCACGGAGAAACTTCTATGCTGAGCAATCCTATCAGCAATTGAACAAATCACCTTTGGAACTGCAGGCATCACCAGTATAGATCTAGCAACTTCATCATTCTCACCCTTGGGAAAAGTTAAGTCAATCATAAGCTTAGGAGCAACCGGCGAACCCTCGCGAGAAACGGAAAAAGTCTTTGGCTTTTTCTCAGCATAAGTCTTTTGAGTAGGTGGGGATTGTCTCTTCTTCCCACTTTCACTCACAGCGGGCTCCGCAATGGCGATCAAGTGAGCCAATGCCTCCGCATTGATCCCTTTATCTCTTCTCTTGGGGGCAACTCCCTACAAAGAGGACTAAGTAGCCAACGCCACTCATGGTACTCGGAAGGGATACCCATAGCGACATGCACTTTCTTCATGTTTGGAAAAGTCTTAGAAGTTGAGCCAAATTTCGAATCTACGAAAGCAGTAGGAGACAATCAGAAAATTAGAGAGTAGCTTAGTACAAATACAAAGCAGTCTACTTACCGGATACAAAGACTGTTGGATCATGCAACTCAAGGAAAGAATCAAACTCCCATTCTCCACTTATCTCCAAAGTCTCATTGGCCCAGTCATGATCTCCCTTGCTCAAATGATCGAAAAGCCTATGGCGAGATCCCAGCTACCCAACTCCCTCGATGTGGCCAACGTCAAAGAAGTACCAAAATTCGTTAACGGTTAGATCTAAGTCAAAGAATTGGCTTAGATTGAGGAATTTCACCATCACACGGACCACATTCGAAGAACTTGATGGCCCTCCAAGCCCTACCACATGGCTCACGACTGCTATTATCCTTGGCACGCTTCACATGCACTCTTGACGGAATAGCATGCCTATACGCCTCAAGGAAGCCTTTAAACAAGTCATCGAAACCAATCTTGAAGTGAGCAGGCTTGACATAGCCAACCTTGCTCAAATACTTACCTTGGCGATACAATGGCAACACCCATCATCATTCTTGTGGCACGAGGAAGACCTGTTCGAAGAAATTCTACAAAAATGCAAAGAAGATTCGTTAGACGGTTGTACCAACCAAAAAAAAAAAAAAAAAAAAGGACACTGCACAACAAGCCTTTCGCCCCAAAAGGGGTTATCAGCCTCTCTCTTTCCTTTCTCCCTCAAGCACGGGCCCGAGCCTAGCCCACGTTGGCTCCTCTCTTTTCCACGACCCAAAGGCCTTTTGGTCTTCTTGCTTCTCTTCCCCAGGCACGAGCCCGAGCCCAGGCTTTGAAAAAAAAAAAAAAAAAAAAGGGCCGCGTCTTCCTGGCCTATCAACAGTGGCCCGAGTACCAGCCCAAGCACGGCATCATAGTGCCGAAGCACCCAGACCCAGTTGTGGCTTCCTAGCCACCTATTGCACGTCTTCGACCCCCGTTGAGCCAAATTTCAAGCCCTAAGACTCCCAAAAAATTAAGAAGACAAGAAAAATTAATTTTTCTTACCTTGAAGTGGCATGGAGACAAAGCAAGCAACGAAAGACGATGCTTTGCTTGAGCAAGATGTAAAAGATTGCTAGAAGAGGGGGAACAAATATCCTCTAAGCTTTCTCTCTCTTGTAGGAAAAATAAATCGCTCTCCAAAGTTGATTTAATAATCCACTTAAGGTGGACTTCAATAGACTTTGAGAGAAATTTATTTCCTTTTCCTAGAAGGATCTAATTTCCAATTAAAGAGTGAATCTACATCAAAATAGGAAACAATCCTATGTTTCCTAAATCAAGAAGATCTCTACACCTGTTGCCCTTTCCTGCGAGCAGCCCAACATGTGTGGGGTATTTGTGAAGCCAAAAATAATCAAGAAAAATAGGGAGGCGACACATGGATTCTTGGGCAAAAGTGACAAGATTACCTTTGAGGCACACTAGGATTTCTACGTGCAAGCAACGGACAATCATCCTTCAATCAAGGTCAAAAGTGGTCAAAATAGGTCATTATTCACAACCTATTTCATCCATCCTCATCAAATCTTCCCCACAAGGTAACTCCCAAATTATTTCTTTCAAATTATATTAATTGGCTAATTAATTGATTTAATACTCAATTAATTCATTAATTAGCTAATTGATAACAATTAACACCAAAAAAAAAATACCACATATGGCCGGTCCCTATTCTCCTAATAGTGCCAGCCATACCCCTATATATAGCCCCTCATTCTCTCTAAAATCCTAGTTCAACACCCTTGCAAAATTCTCTAAATTCTCTAAACATTTTCCCCTCAAAATTGTAACTTTGGCATCGAAGGTTCTTCGGCCAAAGCCCAACGCCACCCCCCCCCTCCCACAAAAATTCATTGTCAGCGCGTGAAGCTTTTGGCCTTGACCTAAGGTGTTAATTGTTTTGTAGGTGCAATTTTGTCCAAGAAGAAGAAGGCGGAAATTTGCATCCATAATATACAAATGGATAAAACATAGATGTACGTAATGTACTAAAGGGAAATCCTTAAAAGCTCTTTTAAATATAATATATATAATGGGATCTCACATGTGTATGTGTGTGTGTGCATATATATATTTATATATGTAAAAACGAAAAGACTCACTCATAGGTACTTGCAATGTCACATGTGTCTCCGATAGTAATCGTACTTAAGCATAGTATTGGGACCCATTAGTAAAACTCAACTTAAACGACTAAAATTTAGGAAAATGGAGTGCGAATTCAGAATCAGATAATCAAAATACGCTAAGAGGGGTCTCAAACAATTTTCGTAAAAAGTCAACGAAAAGTCGACGGTCAACCCTAAAAAAGTCAACTGAGATGCCCTAATGATCAACTACATCAAAACTTAGTAATTTCACTAAATGGATGTCAAAAAGGGACTCGGGACGTTGAAATTAGCCTTAGGGTTTTTGAGAAAATTTCAAAAAAGTCAACTAATGGTCAACAGTTAACTTTTACGAAATATTCCATCCTTAGATAGAATATTCTGTTAAAGTTAGCTAGAAACTTAATGGAATTTTCCAGGGAAATATTCCTTCTAAAATCTGAAATGGACCTGGGTTGGATCTGGGTTAGGGTAAATGGGTCATGGGCTTGGGCCAGTTCTAAGTTTGGGTTTTTTTTTCCCCAGTCGAGTTGACCCAATCCCTGTCACAAATCCGATTGTCGGAATCTAGGTAGCTATTCCAGAGCTCCAAACGAGTTCAAAACTCAACCATTTTCACATTCTTCCTACCAAAATGAAGATAAACGAGAGTAGTTTAGGATTATACCTTTCCCTGAGTCAGCTGTGGCGGGAGTTAGCCTGAAAAGGCTTGCAACTCGTGGCATAAACCACCGAAAACACTGGAGAAGACTCCCTGAGGTATCTTTGCGTTCAAATGTCACCAAAATCCTTAAGAAACACTAGAAACGTATAGTAAAACACGATCCACGAAGATTTAAGTGGTTTTCAAAACTTACCTTCGTCAAAAACGACGATGAGTTGCTTGAGGAAATGGCGTCGACGATGATTTCAGTGCCTCTAGGCCGTGAGCACAGAGAAAGTGAGGGAGACAGAAGATTGAGATAGAGGGAGAATGACAGGGGAGAGGGATGTGGTGGTTGGAGACAAGGACGATGGTAGTCATGAAACAAGGCGTCGACGATCGCCATGGCTACTTCTATGCAGCTAGCATATAGTGAGTGAGAGAGGTAAGGGTCCATGTGAGATGTGAGGAAGTCTGATCTCCTTGAATTTGAGTTTTGAAAAGGATGACAGGTAGTGGCCTTAAGATGGTGGTTTAGTGAAGCTCGCCGGAAGTGTGGTGGTGATGGAAAGCCTCTATGTTTACAGAGAGAGAAAGAGAGTGAAAAGAGAGAGAGTGCGGGAGTTAGAGTGTTGAGGCAAATGAGTGATAATGATAGAGATTGAATGAGGGATAGTGCTTGATAGAGAGAAGAGAATAGAAAAGATGGGGAAAATGGAGATTAATGAAAACAAAAGAAATGGATGTGATGGTTAAAATAACAAAAGAAATGAATATGATGATTATAAAAACAAGAAAAGTTTGCAACATTCAAAGAGGGAAATCACAGTTAGGAATTCCAATTCCATATAAAAATTAAACGTGGGTCCCACCACTCAATTATAGCAATAGGTAGAAAAATGCAAATTTCGAATTTATTTCTTCTAAAAGGAAGCGTAACTAAGATTCCAAATTCGGTTCTGCTTGCGTCCACGAGTTCATGTTGTCGAGTACTACAAGGATACACTAAGAGAATGTTTCATACATCTTACTATACGCTGGTTAGTGAAGGTCAACAATCTCACCTGTATGGGCATTTTTATCTATTCACTCTTTTAAAATTAATAAAATCGTAAAATTAGGGACGGGTTGTTACACGTCGCTCAAAGTTTTTTAAAAAATAATAAAAATGTATGAAAATAACTATATTTTAAAATTTGTAATCTAAAATTAAATATAAATGAAAATAAATTGGTTTAGGCGACGAAAGATTTGGATTACGTCATGCAAAGATTTAAGAAATTATATATTTTTATTTTATTTTATTTATTTTTGTAAAGACTTTGCGTGACGACGTTTAAAATTTCGTCGCTCAAAGTTACTTTGCACGACAATGTGTGTTTCATTGCGCAAGGGGTTTTTTTTTACTAGTGATTATCACACTACAAAACACCAATGTGCACTGATGGTGTAAGAAAAACTAGCAACCCCTTTTCTTCTACTGGCTAGCTGCACTCCTAGATAGATAAATGACTCAAAATTATATACCTGTTGGGCCATATTACACGTACCTCCTCTACATGTTTCTCATTGACAATGAGCTTTCATATTTATTGCTTTGTATCCCAAGTGTTAGCCTTTTCCCACATCTTTGTCTCTTTTTTTTTTTTTTTTTTTTTTTTTTTTTTTGAACAAACGGTATTATCTTTATCAAAAGGTGAGGGATTCGACTAAATCTCAAAATGGGCTAATAATAATGTAGTTCAAATTCATATTTGACGATAGTCAAATTTAAGACCTCTCACTTACAAATAAAGAAGAATATAACTAGACTGTATTTCTAAGTAACACATCTTGGCTATCCTAGACCCATAAAAATCCATATGCTTTCAAAATCAAGCATTTAAAGGATCAAAGGATGGGAAACTCTTGATAAGACCTGTTATGGGGTCAATTCTTCTAAGCTAAATCTAGGATCCTACTCTTAGCAACTCCACCCGTTAGACCATCTCCAATCCTTGGAGAAAAACTCAAATTTTAGGTTATAAACTTACCCCAACTTGCTACAACCCTTGGGGCAAATATTAGTTAAAACTCAAAACTCATTTATGGGACAAATTTAGCCCAGGATTCCCCCTGGCTTAGTGGGGCTGGCTCACCATATATGTATAATTTTTTAGGTTTACATTTATAAATTCATTGAATCCAACAATTAAGATCTAACTTGATCAAATCTAACGGTAAAAAAAGATATCTAACGGTCCAAATTTAAATTCAAAGACTAAAGTAATTAAAAAAAATTATTTTATGTGTTTCGTATTCTTTCGTAGTGTTCAACGAGTTTCATGGTGTTAATTTAGTGATTTTTCAATATTAATCGGAATCTAAATATTTTTAGGTTAAAATTTCATAAAATTAAATTAGGATAGTCTACATATTTTTATTTTTATTTTTAAAGTTACTATTTTTTTTTAAGTTGCTTTAAATTATCCTAAATTCATTCTTTAATAATCTCGAACTAAAAATTTAACCCATAATCGTTGGTGGATAATTGCCTGGACTATTGGATAATTGACAATGATTGGCTTAATAAACAGTAATTGTGTGAGAGCATCTCCACCCCTTAATTAAATTGCATAGGCAATTTACCTTAAAAAATTATTTTTGATAAAATAATAACAAATATTATTTTATAACAAAAATATCTCTTTTCTGGAACCATCCCTTTCTCCCCTCTTTTCTCCCTCCGTCCTTCGTTTTGTCCGTCACAACACAAAGATTGCAACCAGAATGCCATCGTCGGTTTCTGGAACCATCCCTTTCTCCCTCCCTCGTTTTTGGAGCCATCCCCTTCTCCTTCCTTAGATAGAGTTCATCGCCTTCGCCTTCGTCCTGGTACGCAGATTCTGGAGCTCGCTTCCTCCGTCCTTCTTCTCTCTCCCCAGCTTTTGGCCTTTCGATTCCATCGCCTTAATATGCAATTATTTTTGTCATGTGACGTTGGCATGACGCCATGTCAACTGAGGCGCAGAAGCGGGCTAGATTAACCCGATTGATGAGTCTGGGGGAGTTACTTTGGGTGCGCTGGAGCAACTTTTGTTGGGGTAGGCGGATTGAAGCACCAATTCAAGGGGGATTTGTTGGGGTGGACTGGCTTGGACGACTAGCTCATTTCAGCCCAACCCATCTCAAGGTTCGGACATAGTTGATAGGATTTTTACCATCTGTAAAAATAGGAATAAAAATATTTAAAAATACTTGCAAGAATACAAGATAATTATAATATAGTTGGCTTTAGCAAAGTCGTTTCCACAAGAATTGAATGAATAATTT